GTACAGCAAAGATGCTTACTCACCCACGCTCACTTAAGAGTTGAGATAAGACATACATGTATGCATAAGTGTATGTGACAGACGTCAGGCATTCCCGTTCTGAACTAACAAAAGCTAAGTGATAAACGTTTTCTCCCCATCAGCTTTCAGCAACAAAGTGAAGTGTTAAAAGTGCAGCTATGACACTGGCCATGAGCAGTATCCCATTTCCAATGAGTCTTGCAGTCCTTACTTTACGATTCACAGGCTAAAAGGCATGTCTAAGTGCACACATTTGACAATTGGCGAATCGTAATGACTTCTACCGACTTCTCATGATTACCATTTTTTATCCTCACAGCTTTCAGCAACAAGGTTCAGTGATAAAAGTGCAGCTATGTTCGAGCGATGACACTGGCAATGTGTAATATCGTCCGTTACCAATGCGGGTCCTTATTTTACGATTCCCGGGCTAAAAGGCATGTCTAAATGCTCACATTTGACGATGCCTCGGTCCAAATGCATATCTAAGTGCACATAATCACAATTAGCGGACGGTAATAACTTCTAACGACGACTGTACCCACGATTATTAGTATTGAAGTACTTTCTCCGATTGCCACTGATAGCTGAAACTACCCAACGAGTTGACATTCCCTGATGTTTGGAGCCCGCATCAGACGGGCTAATCTTCCCGGGATGGGAATTAAGAAGTAACTGTTGCTGCAGAGTTTCCGGTGTCTGTGATAGATGACGCCTGACTCTGCCTGCCATCGGAGACTCGTGCTCATCGGAACGTGATCCCTCCCAACTCCCCGTGAAATCTCCTCCTGACGACGGCCCGTCACAGGACGTCCTCAAGTCATTACTCACCCACTCCCTGCAGGTGTTCAAAAACTTTACCTGTAGATGTTTATATCCTCAAGTCATTACTCACGGGTCCCTGCAGGGGGGTTGTAACTTCGTCAGCTGTTCCACGACTACTCCAACTCTACCTGTATCTGTTTTTTATCCTCAAGTCATTACTCAAGTTTCCCTGCAGGGAAGTAACGTCGCCAGGTGTTCCACAACTATTCCAACTCTAATTGTAGCTGTTGTTATGCCGGAAATATCGTCCGTATGTCTGAATGTATTTCCCGAAATCCGAAAATACAGACTGATAAAACCAGTCATTCTTGTATCAAGACATCTCAGTTACATCGTTATGAAATTATCCTGGTTCTAAGGGGAAGGTTTTCCCTTCTTCTTCCCTTCCCTTCCCTTTCTTTTATTACTGCGCCCAATCCCTCCACAAGTGAGTATCCCTCCACGAACACGGACTGGGGGAGAAACCATCCACCAGATATACTTATCGAGGTTGTAGATATATAAGTGGATCTGGAAATGAACAGACGTGCTCAATACGGAAGGTGTACGTTTCATGTCCGGCAGGTTTCCCCAACAGAGCAGTACCGTTCGATGGATCGGCCCAAAACAAACACCAGGGACGATGTGCGAACTGTGACTCTCCACGCGTGCGATGCTAACGACGAGCTATTATCGATTTTGCGCGGTTCTTTGCTGCCGATTTGCACATCAGTCGGTCCCGCTCTCCTCTGGAGACGCCCGGCTTTGGCGATGCGCCATTTCCTGATCGAACAAGTTACCAATAAAACGTTTTCTGCTATCTCCTCCGCCTCCTTCAGGAGTGAGATTAACAACACGAATTGCTACGCTGTGGGTTTTTTCTAGATCTTGTCATGTAAGGTATTACTTGATATCAATACGCGGTTGACAGCTGGTCGTTTAGATCCTTCACATTTCTGCTTATCCAAGGCGGTCGTGTCCTCAGAGTCATGGTCCCTATATACGGCCTGTCATGCATCGTTGACAAAGGGAAATCTTTCTTTACACACTGCTACACAACTCGTCTCACCGTTTGTCAGAATGACTAAGCGGCTTCCGGCAAAGGAAATAGAGTAAATCAACGGCAAGCTGATTGGCTGCGGTCAGATTGGTCACACTGTCATCGTCCTTTTTTGACAACTTTTATATGGGCCATTTTTCATTCTTCCATTTAGTTCCCTTCCCCTGTATGGAAACAATAACACACACAGACATAAACACAGACGTATATACATGTATGTATATGGTATACATGTACATATATACAGTCAAACAGGCACGCTCATACACACATACAGACACACAATTTCATTTGTCTGGCTGTAGCCGCTCGAACCTTCACGGTTTTCCCGCCAGTTCTGACTGTTGACAGATGAGACAGACACGTTCTCCATCCATCACCTGTGGTACTCCTCCATCACCTTCCCTCCCCGCTCCATCACCTGTGTTCCCGCTCCTCCACGGCTGCCCTTGTCGCACCTGGAGGTGATGGATCGCCCAATTATCCGCGGAGATGTCCCAGACTCCCTGCTGTGACGACGTCTGCTGCTCCAACATGACAAGTATTAATCGCCGTGCCGCGGTTGGAACGATTTACCTTCACACGGTCCCATACATCATTATTCATTAACAGGGAGACGCAAGAGGGAGACTCCTACTCTCCAAGCAGAGGTTTGGGTTTTGGGGGTATTTTTAGCGTGTTTTTAGGCTTTTTTTAAACATCAGGGTTTCTCTTTTGCACTGAATTTTTCCCCACCAAACCCAAGGTAGGAGGCTCCTGCCACGGTGATGTAGCGTGATGGTTCAGAGTGTTTTCCATGTACCAGGAGGTTCTGAGTTCTAACCCCTGACATGCCCCAATGTTGGGCCCTTGAGAAAGGCAATTCCGTCAAAGTTTCCCACTTCATTCAGATGGAGATTGAGTACTTAGATCCAGTTAATAATTTTTTTCCAAGAAGATTATTTGGGGCAAGGGGAGTGTATGTTGGCCACCTGTAACCATTGGCCGCCCCTTGGGTGGCATATTGGCTACTGCCAGGCCATGTTAATACTGTTTCGCAGTCAACCTCTAAAATCAGCTTAGAGATCAGTCCCTTGTTTGATTCGGGGAGAGCCAAACCTCGAGCACGTTCACACGTATCGAAAAACGTAGGAACCCTTCTTGGTGTAAGTGTATCAAACCTTAGGCCACACCGTCTTAATTTAATGGATGACATCCTCTGAAGACCCCCAAACTAGTGCGCGCGGGCGAATAAAAAAAAAATCCGGTCAAAAATAAAAATACTGCTAAACCACAGGAATACAAAGCTGGTATTGTGAATTAGCGGCAGTACATAGCGACGTATACGACAAGCCTGGCTTTTTGCGGAATTAATGAATTGGCACTGTACTGAGTTCTTGAGTCGTGGAACGTCGGTAGCCTGGGTGCCCGGCTCCGTATTGTCACTAACTACCATCGACTACCCAGGGCTTGAGCCAGGCTAGATCCTAGGGGTAGGTAATTCCTTTTTTTGGGGGAACAGGAGAAAATCAATGCGCACGCGGATGTCATCCATAAAATTATGTCGGTGTGGCCTTACAGTCTTGTGCACGTCTTACATACGCAGCGTGCTCGGATCCCTCAGGAGGTTTATCCCGTTTTAATAAAGAAAAAAAAAATCCACTCTGCAGGGTTAAGGGCGTTGTGCTGCATCCATCAGCGAGGCAACCAGACGCCTACCTTCATTACCGGAATGTATTTCCTATGGGGTTAGTTCCCAGTGATGTCTTGAATTAGACCCTAACCACATGTCTGCCAAGGATAGCGCTAAGAACACGGTAAGAAGCTAACAGGAAAGCTTCCGTCTGCAGTGACGTATTTTTTTATTCCAACATGTTAATCGCAAGACGTGGTGACGGCACTCTCAAGTTTTTTCAACTTATATTAATGCCGCCACCAACACAGGGACAATACAATACTCATGTTCACCTGAGCGAAGTGAGGAAAGTCGTGTAAAGCGCCTTTCCTAAGGGCACAAGATCGGGGCACAGTGGCGTATTTACGGAGGTAATTACATTGCACAAAGTAGGACATGCGTCAGACGTGTATTTTTACTTCATCCCTCATTCAGTTTGTCGCCTGTGTTCATCTCCGTGATGCCATTCATTTGGAATTGCCTCCGAGTGGTGCTTAGCGTCAGGCGCAAATCTCGTTCTTGTACACAGAAGTGCGTTATTACACGTAATGTTGGGCACTTACTTTTCCATCATTATACCCTACTGAGGTCCGGAGGTTTCACACGTAGGACGACTTTGACTCGCTACAAAGTCAGCACGTGGCCGGGGTGACTTTTACTTGCTACAAAGTCAGTTGTGGGGTCTTGTGGCGTAGCGGCAGAGTGCTCGACTCCGAACCAAGAGGTCCTGGGTTCGAATCCTGACATGCCACCGACCTTGTGCCCTTGGGAAAGGCACTTTACACGACTTTCCTTACTTCGCTCAGGTGAAAAATGAGTATTGTATTGCCCCCTGTGTTGGTGGCGGCATTAATATAAGTTGAAAAAACTTGAGTGTGCCGTCTTGTGATTATATGTTGGAATGTAAAAAAAGTCAGTTGGCAGCAGATGCAAAATGCTTCACGATTCGGCTTATTCTCTAGAGTGGTGTCACACTGAGCTTTCTACTTCATCAAATTATGCATTTTGAGTTGAAAACTAAACGAGCATTCCTCAAAACGGCATGTTCGTAACTACACAATGCGATGTATATAGAGCATCACCTATCCCCGTAGCCCTTGGGCCACACAGTTGTACAATCACAACAGCAGGGGGCTAGTTTAACTCGCATGGTCTTTCCCAAATGCTGAGTGCTAATTATTTTAAGTGGAAAAAAAGCATGTAGTTTTTTGTTAGTCTTTAGGGACTTGGCTAGGGATCGAACTCACGACCGACCGAACGCTCTACTGACGTAGCGATTATACGATGTACAAGCTTAATTCACGTACCGTATTTTAAGTGAAAAAGCATGTATTTTGTTAGTCTTTGGGGACTTGGCTAGGGATCGAACTCACAACCGACCGAACATTACCGACTTGGCCATTGCACGGGTTAAACCCCAGAAGACCTTTGATATATGATGTACAGGCTTAACGCACGTACCTTGCAGCGGCCTGTCCCACGGCCGGTAGCCCTCCGGGAAGGTTGGGTACGCCGTGCTGTCGACGGGCGGAGTCATGGAGGACAGGAACGGCGGAACGGTCCCACTCGAGCCCCTGAAGAGGAACATACGTACGGAGAGATGAAGTTTTCAATAGTGCAGTTTTACAGGGCTCGAAACACTTTTTCTACATACATGCACACGGAACTGTCCCAATCGAGCCCCTAATGGTGAACATATACGTACAAGGAGATGAAACTTCCAATCACAGTACAGCGCTTGGAATACTTTTTCTAGATACACATGTACCAAAACTAGTGCAGGTAACATTGAAAATTACCCGCCTCAGGCAAATTCTACCTGGATCAGAATTTGGAAGGTATGGATCATAGTACAACTGTTTAGAAACCATTGCCATGATTTCTTTTATACTTCATGTGTGGTAATAGTCAATGCCTGAAATAAAACTCCACATACACCAGTCCTACATTTGTATATAAACCCAGTTCATAGACCAGTCCAATGGAGAATAGTGACTAAAAGTAAGTAAAATAGATCCACAACTAAGGGTGCAGACCCACAACAACCTTTTTGAACGGATACTGAAGATAACTGTAGAGTAGGCACACGGACGAGGTAAAAGCGTGCCCTGGCTTTTCAATCACCAGAAAGGTCGTCCAATAACCGCAGGGCAGATGTATTTGCGAACGAACGCACAAGGTTACTGCGTCATCCATGACCGATAGAACCTTTAGTGGTGAATTACTTTGCCCTGAACCGTGCGATTCACCACGCAAAGTCCGCCCAGCCGCCACCTAATTGGGGGCCTGCATGCCCTTTTTCATAAGGCGCAATCATAAGGCGTAATCAGGCATTTTTACTCTTCGTAATTCGTAGGCAGCCTCCCGCAAAAATCAACGTAATTCGTAATCGTAAAGTCGTAATCGGCTTTGAGACTTAAAAACGTATTTCGTAATCGGCGGCGAAAATTTTGCGTAATTCGTAATCACTACCCCCCTCCCCCCCATGCGGCCCTCTTGGGACCACACGAGTTAATGATACAGGTTTGATTGAGGTGTATTTAATCATTCCAGCCCCAGAGATGAAGATTGCTGGACCTTTGGTCGTGATGATTCATTGTCAAACCGAAGAGGTTATCTCCATACAACCTCCTCGGGTAAATACACCTTGCCCCAATATTTCAACCTCATGGTGAAACATGCCCCAATATTTCAGGCATTGCATGGTAGAATAGAATCGGTAATATGAGGTTCTTTGCCATGACCAGGCTAAAACGACACTTGTTTGTAGTGTCTCTAAGAGATAATGTAAAGATTAACACATGTATTATTGTAGAACACTTCTGACAAGAGCAGGAACTAAGTGGTTTAAGATGTGTGCGATAACGTCTAGTGTTTAAACCGGATCCAGGACAAATCGGATCCATATCGTGTTGTAATTGCATCATTAATTATCGCTATTCGTAATGATTTATTGCAATGCAAACAAGCCATTAGGCAGAAAGAGACATGAACAAATCTGGGTCATCTTTTAAACCCCAGCCGCTTCAGTGGTTAAAAGCTTTTGTAATAGACCCTGAAGAATGTCCAGATGACAAGAATGGCTCTCGGAGGGTTTAATCTACATATAATTGGTTTATATGCGAATATTTCCCACGATAGGCCAGGCTTGTGAGATTACCTTAATGCGCTTATCGACTCGCACAAAGTGTTCAATCCTAAGTTAATTGTGTAAAGATTTGGCATGAGCCAAGAATGAGGGAGATATTCATAATAAGCGGAGCTCCCCAGATACGTTATGCTCCCTTACTTCCCCACCATTCCCTACCACAAAAAAATTAGTTCTAAAATCAAAGAACCCACATATTATAGAAGAAGTGGGTAAATTCGTCTTCCATTGCCTAAAAAGAAGAAGTCAAACCCAATAAAACTAGTACCATGTATGTTGTAGAATATAGTATAATGCTAGACGTATATATAGTCTCACATACCACTGTATTTTCTTTCTTATGTTGTTTGTAACTGCAATTAGCCCTCGGGCAAGTATTTGCAATAAACTTTCTATACAGCGCTTCTGTACCAACCGTATGACAATCAGGCTACATGACAGGAGGTTGCCAATATCCTTGTGCACAGCAATGTGAAATATGAAATGGCCCAAGTCATGTCATTACACTAATACATTATCACGGGATTAATAAGGAAGCCATTTCACAGGGAAAAGTGGTTCTCTCAATTGCATGATTGACAAACACATCAAATGGACACACAATTGATAGATGGCTTAAGTAATGGTATTAGGACATACATTCGTAAAAAAAAGGCATACGATTACGCTTAATGTCATTCAGAAATTGATTCTGAATTGCGTTCCAGCCTTATGTTTGACAATTTTTCTCAGAACAAAGTTGTCAAACACCGCCCTTGTCTCATTTTATTCTTCATTTTAAACCAGAAGCCGTGTGGATAGTAACTCCCCCCACAGAAGTAAATGAATGGCTATGGGGTGGGGAGTCGATGGATAAACAATCCCAGGTACTGCCGACGCGATTATCCCTCACAGCCGCTACAAGATCATTAATGCCAGGACTAAATGTCGGACTGGGTGTATCTGATCACTTCTCCGAACGGAACTGTTGCCTAATGTGCTCGTCGCTCCAAACCCCGCGCGGGCCGCAGTTTTACCAATAGCCGTGCTGGAAGGTGCCGTAAAGGGACCTGATGGAGAGTCGCAAACCTAATCTCCAAGCAGATGTTTTGGCAAATTGTAGCCACCAAAAGATCATTAATGTCCGGGCTAAATGTCAGGCTGGGTATATCTGATCACTTCTCCAAGCGGAAGTGTTGCCTGATATGCTCGCCGCTCCTTGTGGCTTTACCAATAGCCGTGCTGGAAGGTGCCGTAAAGGGACCTGATGGAGAGTCGTTTACCTAATGTCCAAACAGATGGTTTGGTGGCCACAAGTTGGCAAATTGTAGCCACCAAAAGTATCAACTTGGCAAGACAGTATAAAGTGGCAATACAGTATCAAATTGGCATCACAGTGTCGAATTGGCTAGACAGTATCAAATGGGCAAGAACGTATTAATTTGGCAAGGCAAAAACAAATTGGCAAGACAGTATCCATTTGCCACCCATTTGGCTGGCGAAACCAGCACAAAAAGAAAGCCCGATGAAAACGGCTGCAAGTTAAACCACATTAAAAAGTACTAGTAAGCCTAGATCTCTGCTTGTAGAGTACATCGTGAACCCAGCAGGGCTGCAATGTTCCGGCCAAGCGGCCCGATGCAGGCGGATTCATCACCGCGCGTTATGGTTCACTGGTTTTACTCAGCGGCCGTTTTAAGAGTGGTTTAGTGGATATCTTGCGCTGATAACCGCTCGATAACGCACGCCAGCCGCTGCCAGAGTGCAGTCCTTCTGCAGTGGCGTCTGGTTCGGATTTGAACCAACAGGTCCCGAGTTCGAATCCTGACATGCCAACGATCTTATGCCCTTGGGAAAGGCACAATACTCAGGTGAACATGAGTATGTCTCCTATCCGTTCATGCATTTGTCTGCGCTGGTGGCGGCATGAAAATAAGTTGCCACGTCTTGTAATAAATGCTGGAATAGAGAAAATGTCAGGTTCTGGAATAGTAATGACATGTTAGCTGCGTCATTTACGATGTACTGAAGACAGAATCAGTGAATCCACTGCTTCAACTTAGGAGGACAAACTATTCACGAATGTTTCGTATGTATTTTAGTAGTTTTCCACGAAGCCAACCTTATTGAGGACATGCCGTTACAATTAAGGGTTCCATCCATTCATTAAGGGCCATTAGCAGCGCAATGTTCCCAATCGGAATATGGGACCACTCGCTCATAATGGTCCGTTAAACATATACACATCACTACATTATATCACTCTAGGGAATAAACCGATTTAGTTCTAATATCACATACCTAAAGACAGTGGGAGTGATTGATCTGGGAGTATATAATTTTTTAAGCAATATGTAGAATATTCAATTCAATTGATTCTTTATTGCAGTCACGGCTCATATCAGAACATACATTAAAAAATACCGATACGTATTAAGATAAGTATAATACAAGTATACTACAAGTATATACAGAAAGATTAAAGTAAAATGTTAGGGAAGTTTAATGGGCGGACTGTTTGAAAACCAGGTTGACGTAGTGTTTCCGGAAGTTGTTGATGGAGAATATGTCAGAGTGAATTACCAGTTTGATGAGACCATTGTTTGAGTCGAGAATAGGCGCCAAAGATTTATTGCCGTAGATAACTTCCCACGTGTAGTGCAGGATGCACACTGGGCGTTAAGTTAATCGCCTTATACAGATAACACTTTAGGAACGTGCTCACGGGCTACCAGAAAGGTTAAGCGTATTATTACAGTACTAGCGCTTTATCAGGCATTTATGCTATGGCCTTCATACTCTGTGATCTGATACCTTTATAGAAAAAGTGTTCTAGGGTTTAAAGTTAACCATCTTACATTAGATAAGTCTCCGGAAGGAATTTACTTTCGGGTGAGGAGTTAATGGCCTTGTATACTTTATGTGAAAGAAAATCGGCATTTGCGTGAAACGTGAGTGGTGTGCGCTGTACATGTTTTTGACGTTAGCCACCTTATATAGATTAGTCTCTGTAACTAATTTACGCTGTGGGCATAAAGTTAACAGCCTTGTATAAATAATGTAAGTCTCAATAGAAAATCTGCATTAGGGTTAAACGTGTGTGGTGTACTAGTTCATACTGTGTAGGTCGTTGTATATAGGATACGTCCTAGAGTTTGACGTTAGCCACCTTTTATAGATTATCCTCTCTGTAAGTAATTAACCCTGTGAACATAAAGTAAACTGTCTGGTATAAATTACGTAAGTCCCTATTGTATTGGAAATCTACATTAGGGTAAACCATAGGTGGTCCCATCAACACAGGAAGCTCCTTCAACGTCGGTACAGGCGGTAAACTTAAGATGCATCGTAGGAAGTGGAGGGATTTAACTTGCGAACCCAAAGGTAACTGCCGTTTAAGTTATAAGCTCTCTGCAGGCAACGCCAAAGGGTTAAACGTTTTATTTG